GGATGTACGTGGCCAACATTGCTGGTCAGGAGATTGACAGTTTGGGGTGCGTTTTTGCCGAGGTCTAGACCAGGGATGAGGTCAGTATTGCTGCCTCGTGAAGAAATGCCCAGAGCACGAGAAACTTTTATGCTTTTATTCGTAACTTGTAATATGGTGTCTGTAGTACTATTAAACAGACCAAGGCAATCGAAGGAGAGGTCCTCTACATATGACCTAGTATCTGGCTGTAGATTGGTGTTATGTAGCCAGGAATGTCTTCGGAGAGCTATGGCTGAAGCCATTGTCCTTGAGCAGGTTCTAGGGCGTGTTTAGAGGTATTAATTTGTTGTTTTACAAGCACCATGCCCTCCTTTTGTATGATGTGGGCTGCCTGACGCTTGTCTTCTGGAAGGTTTGCCAGAAGCTCGGAAAGCCTCTCCCACAAAGTGTATTGGTATCTACTCATACACGCTAAGTAGTTGGTGGTCTTCACCAATGTTCCCTCTAAGCTATGGAGTCTTGTGAGCAAAAATTCTACTTTGTGAGCTATGGGCATGAAAGTTGTGAGCCAGCAATTTGGCTACTGCATAAATTAGTTTGCTCTGGAGACATCCTACCCGAGCGGAGACAAAAATGTGTGAGCTGGAGGCTAAAAAACTGTGAGCTAGCTCACACTAACTCAGCTTAGAGGGAACACTGGTCTTCACCCCTAGTGCTCCAGTAGAGTAGAAACATTGTCCGAATGCATCTAGCTTTCTGCTCTCCTTGTCTGAAGGTGCAGAATGGGTTCTCTTTGACTTGGATGAGGAAGTGACTACCATGGCGTTTGGTTGAGGATGGGCAAATAAGAATTCCGCTCCTGTTTCCTGGACTCTATACATATGGCCCAAGTGATGTGTGAACACTGGAGCCGATGATGGTTTATCCCATGGAGCTGCCTGTAACAGGACCGTGGACATGGGTAGTGCTATAGCCGTCGATGTATCGAGTTGTACCACATCGAAAATGGCATCTGTAACCTGTGGTTGTGGTTGTACGACTGAAAGGCCAAGGGAGTGGGCCATTCTTTTTACAAGATCTCCGTAGGAAGTTAAATTGTCTGATGGAGATATAGGTTGGTCGTCGGCTACTGCCTGGTTAGGAGACGGCTGGTCAGGGGAGCTGTGCACATCTGAAGCCCCTGTATCAGAATCCTCATCCACAGTCAGAGGAATCGGGCTCTGGTAATTGTACCGGAGTGGTTTTGATCTGACTGGTTGGATCTGTTGACGGTGGGATAGGGGGACTGGGAGGACGATATTGATCCGGTCAATGTCGAGGAGGGTCATCAGATGGATGATCCGGAGGACAGGAGAGAGCTGCTGAGGGCCTCGATCTATGGGGTGACTGTGATCTGTGGGCAGAGTAACGATCCCAATCAGAGTAACCTGCTGGAGTCAACCACGGCATGGATGCAGGTGGATAAGCCCCATAGAGATAGTGCAGTTGGCGGTGATCCCAGGAGAGAGGAGGAGGTGGTGGGGGCAGGAAGACTTGTGGGGATCTACTCCTAGAGCGGGAGTGTCTGGGAGACAGCATAGGATCTTGTCTCCGTGAGCGGCCCCTAGTAGCCCGATCATCGATATCGAAGGGCCGATCCTCAGCAAACAGACGGGGAGGATGACATTGAGTGTTTGGAGGGATCTGTCGATGCCAACCTGGATCGATATCAGCATGGAACTCCAAGACAGTCGATGTCGATGACTGAGCAGAGGAAGAGCGATCCGTGCCCAGGGGACGACTGAGGATCTCGACATTATCGATGTCGGTGAAAGGACGCATATCGACCAGCGTGTCGTGGTCTAGCTGGTGTATCGGAGAGTCCATCAGCTGGATGATCGGTATCGGTGGAGCGACTGTAGCCTCCGATACTGCCGTTGGAGCGGGGGGCACCTTAGGGGCATTACCCGGTGCAGGACCCGTGACTTTTCCAGACTTCGTCCCCTTTAGGGCCTTAGAGGAGCCCTTTTTGGCAGACTTGTGCTCTTTACCCGACTTCTTCTTTTTCACGGGAGTGGATGCCGAAGAGTGTGCCGTCGATGCCGAACGCTTCGATGTCGACTGGACGATGTCAGACGAGGACTTCGATACCGATGTCGATGGTCTTACCGGTACTTCTGGATCCATGGTGGAAGCTGGATTTAGCGCCGATTCAAGTACCGCCGCTCGGTTTTTCCTAGTTTGATTTGAAAACATGGCACAGTGTCGACTGGACTCCGGCCGGTGTGTCTAGCCAAGACAAAAAATGCAAAGGGTGTGGCTGTCAGGTGGAGCGAGCTTACTGCCGCAACCTTTGCAACGATTGAAAAAGGCCCACTTCTTCTCCATAAAATAAACAAATAGAGAAGAAAAAGAGGTGAGGGGGCGAAGGCCAAACTGAGGTAAACGAAAAACGTCCCCCTCAACTAAATAAAGTCCTTTTTTTTTTTTTTTAAAGAGAACAACAAATAAATCAAGGTAAAAGCAAAAAATAAAGAAAACTGAAGAGAAATCCGAAGAGCCTCTGAGGAAAAATAGCTACCGATCAGACCGATGAAAAGAAGGTGCTTCCAGCGCGGCGGAAAGAAAGGAACTGGCAGGATGTCTGCACCCACCCCTCTGGGCATGCGTGGTGGGGTTCCTGCACATGCCTGAGGCCCGGGAGCGAAAATCCGTTAAGAGCTTGCTACAATACCGATCGATCCAGCGCAGGCGCACTGTATCCCATGGGTGTGAAGCACAGAGACCATGTCGAAGATCATGTTAGAGCCCCCTTCACTTGTTCACACATTCCACAAAAAGTACCCTCTCAAACCGGCAGGTTGAACAAACCTTTGGGGGGACAGGATGTCAAACTCGCTCTGCATTTTATGGCTTGTTTGTCATGGCAACCGAGGGGAGGGTGTGGAAGGTTGTGAAACTGAAATGCTTTCGCTTTGCCAGGCCGCTTTGAAGTAGCGTGCATCCTTATCACCTCTGAGAACCCAGATGTCCTTGGTACTCAGCTTTCGCAGCTTGGTTTCATCTTACATACCAGAGGGATGGCATAGTAGTGGAGAGTAGTTTGCCGTTGCTTTTGGCAGGCAGAATAACAAGGGGTGATTGGTCCTGGGACTTTAGGGCCCCTGTTTGAATATTGTATATCTGTTGCATTCGCGCCTTTAACCTCAGTTCTAACACAACCAGTGTCCAGTCTGGATCCTATCAATGTCTCAATAAACCTATCATTCTCCAGAGTGAATGTTGTTGGGAACCGATTTATTCAGGAGTCACAGAATCATAGAACCACAGAATCCTAGAGTTGGAAGGGGCCATACAGACCATCTAGTACAACCCCCTGCCCAACGCAGGATCAGCCTAAAGCATCTCTGACAAATATTCGTCCAGCCTCTTCTTGAAAGCTGTCAGTGAAAGGGAGCTCACCACCTCCCTAGGCAGCTGATTCCACCTGACAGCTCCCTCCCCTCCCCAAACTCTGCCCTTCTCAGGCTTTCCCAGCCTGGAGCTGGCAACCCTATTAGTTTGGCTTCCAATAAGAACACGGTATACCAAAACTTTAAAATCAATCATTGCAATAACTATATATCAGCAGCAGCATTCTAACATCATTTAAAAGAAGCATCAAGGCAAAACAAATCACAAAACACCTAAACTAACCAAACATCTGGGTAAACACAATAGCATGACCAGTGTTCCCTCTAAGCTGAGTTAGTGTGAGCTAGCTCACAGTTTTTAAGCCTCCGGCCCACAGATTTTCACCTTCGCTCAGGAAGGATGGCTCCAGAGCAAACACAGTAGCCAAATCACTTGCTCACAACTTTACTGTTGGTAGCTCACAAAGCAGAATTTTTGCTCACAAGACTCCACAGCTTAGAGGGAACATCGAGCATGACACTAGAAAGATTAAGCAATATATTGGGTGGCCCCATTTGAGGAAGGCATCCACCTCATTTCTGATGGTATAGACACCCAAACAAGTTCCCGAAGATCTTAATTCCCAGGCACATTGGTAGGGGAGCAGGCAACTGCTTTGTGAGAAGCCTAGTAGCTCCATGTGAAACACCGAGTCAGTGGGAAACGGGAGATAGTGAAGTGACTTCCACAAGATAAAGCTTACTGTTTTGATGTTCTGGATAGGTATGGGAGATACAGCAGGACTTTAACTCACCTCAGACCTAGAGACTCTCTACACAGTCCTGTGAAACACCACAATGTAGCCCTTGTATCCCCCCCCCCCAACCTAGACCCTTGGTAGAATAGCCTAGCTTTAGCCTGCAAGAGATCCCAAGTTTGATTCCTGGCAACGGTCTTGCAGGAGAAAAGGCTAAGAAGTGATGCATATGTATCTGAGATAGTGTAGTAAGATAGCCAGAGTGAGTCGCATAAGGATCAATGGCTCCTGGGTGCCAGTCATTTGGATCTTAAGTGTTCGTTCCACATGAGCCTCCCTTCTTCCATTGCTGAGGCAGTCCTCTGCTGCGAAGTGTGCGTCCTCCGATGACAGACACTTCCACTTGCACAGGGATCATTGTTTTTCAGGGACCCTCAAAGTGCTTAGTGCAAGAGGAATGTGCCCCGCAGCAGAGGACTACCTCAGCAATAGATGAAGAGAAATATATGTGGAACAAAAGGATTCAAGGTGATATACTGATAAAGATTACACAAAGTACGGTATGTAGTAAAAGACGAAGAACAGCAGCTGATGAAGCAGGCGAATCCTGTTAAGTCACAGAAGGATAGTGTTGTCCTAATTACCACTTCTTTTCCTACCTAAAGCCTACCAGCCTTTCTCCCAAATGCAATCTAAATTCTGTATCCATATTATTGAAAATTAAACAAATGTGCAACATCTATTCTATCTGGAAAGGAACTCCAACATATTTATTCACCCCTGTGCTTTCAAATAGGGCATGCATTTTCTTTCCTTTGTACAGTTCTGCAGCTCACCCATTCTGCTCTAAGACACTGAGATGCAATTCATGCAATCCTTCATCACTCACCTCTTGATCATGGCCCGAGTGTGCCAAATGCAGGGGAAAGATTCCTTTAATACTGTCCTGTAGTTCCTGTTCAAGTCCCTTCCTGCCAGCGAGCAACGGTAGTTCCCAACAATCACCCCATCAGGGTTTAGCATGGGCACAATCTTGAATATGAAGAGATCCCGGAGGAGCTGAGCGTCAAGAGAATCACTTAAGATGAAATCCAGGAAGCCTCTCATCACCCAGGAACTATTTGTCTCCCCAGGATGGACCCGGGCACTTAACACAACAGCTCTCTTTGCAGCAGCAGCAACGGAGCTCTTGGATGGATTGGTAATGGTGAGGAGGTATACTGTGTTCCCAGCTAGACTGTTGCACAGAGGGCGAACTTTGCAATACTGAGAACGGAGAGGATCATTTACTAAAGTCAAGAGGTAGTGCTGCAAGTCAGAATATGTGTATGGATAGAAATGAGCAAAATAACATGTGTCATGGCTGTGTGGAAAACACACTGTCCAGGTGAGGCAATACAATGTCTGACCATCCTTTGTGTTATATTTATAATATCCGATATCACTACCCTCTCTTCTCCAGCCAATACCATTACGTTCCGCATCCTTCTGAGAGTATAGGAGAGGCTTCATTCCCATGCTGTAGAGACTCTTGGATTTCATCAAATTGACAATGGTGAAGCGATAGGTGACAGCCTTCCTCGTATTTTGTACTTGAAAGTAGAACCATTGCGTATGCTTGCTGGTATAAAGATCCGTTCGCAACGTGAGCTCATATTCATACTCGCCTCTGAAATGCAGCCGTCATGAAAAGAAAATGCTTAGAAAGCCAGCAGTAATATTCCCCTACAGAAAAAACATTCAGCATACAACCAAGCATGCACCCTAGAGGCAGAGATGCTCCATCAAATGGGTAGCAGCATACTGGGTTGATATAGTTTGAAGTCACAGTGAGAATTTTTCCTGTCTTGACTGGAAACACTCCCTGTGTTAACAAAAAATATGTTCTTCCAATACTGCAGCCTGCTGGCTACATGTGGTAATAAACTTCGCTTTCAGACCTAAAATTCTTCAGCCTAAAAACCATTTATGCTCACAGAAACATTCATATTAATGTAGGATCATAACATCATGTGCTCATTGCCAAGACAGTGAATTAGTTATGATGGAAGGCTCACGAAAGGACAACACTGAAATGGAGACTCTCCTCTCCACACCTTACAGCTCCAGCTGGTTTACTACAGAGACCTAACAGAAGATTCCTGAACATACTGAACATATTGAAGAAGGGATTTGGATATATTGTAATAATGAAAGCTATTTAACTTGTAAAGAGCTGCACTCGGTGAGACTGGAGGCATTTATAATGGACACACACTGATTCTTAAAAACAACAATATACAAGTGCATAACAAAAGCTCAACAGAACCTAGGCCTTAGTCAAGATTTTTTCCCTCCTCTCTTGGATTCAGATAACTGTGTGCTGCTGTACAATTTCCAACCCACATACAATTTCCAGTTTCCCTTACTCACACCCTGACAGCTTTCTGGAGGTTCCCACTCTCAAAGCGTGATTCAAACCACAATTTAGTATCTTCTGGACCTCTTAAGCTCATTGCAGCTGACTTCATGGGCTCTTGTGTCCCTCCAACTCGGGAACTGGTGAAAAAGGTACCCTTGATGGCTGCAGGAGAAGAGGCAAGACTGTCTAAAAAGCATTGCAGATTATGATCACCCTAACCAGGAATGTGTCCCTATCCCACAAAATCCTTAGCTTGATCTTCTACATTTGCTACTAGCTGTGAAACATTTAATGCCCATGACTAAAACATATTAGGTATCAGCTGACTAACATGATGTCAAAGAGGCCACTTTTGCTATTTTCTAAGAAGCAAATATAATTAGAAACTGACAGTTTCTTTCTCTTGTGGTGGCTAGGCCAAGGCAAAGAGGGCAATTTTCTCTCAGTGTTTTATAATGAAAAGTAGTTGAAGAAGTATTCAGATATGATTGGAAAAGAAGAGGAGTTGCTTAAATCTCTCCCTGTGAGTTCTTTTCCCATCAAATCCATCTTTCACAAGCTACTTCTCAATCGACAGAGTGAAAGGTACAACAGGTAAAGTTTTCTTCAGGTGAAAAACCAAACAGGAGGATTCTGAGTAGAAAAACAGATAGAGTGACATCTCCACCTTCTGCAAACCTCACAAAAAAGCCAGGAGACTTATCTTTGTCTGCTGTGGTCAAGACTGTCTAATAATGGAGTTATGAGTTAGGCGTAGGCCTAATTACGCATTACACTATTTAGGTGCTTGCCCCATATGTCATGTCTGCCCTGGGGGGTCCTTATTATTTATCAGAGTTATACCCCGCCCTCCCCGCCAAGGCCAGCTCAGGGTGGCTTACATAAAAGAAAAGACACATCAATAACAATGTAAACAATCTTAAAAATGTCTAAAACATTCCAACATTAAAAGATGCTGTAAACATTAAATACTACTAAAAGTGGACAGATTATTAAACGATGGCGGCCATCAATCAACAGCATAATCTGGTGATCAGTCCATAGATCTATCCCGATGCTTTGCAAGCCTCAGACCAATCAACAACGTAAACAGCATGGTAAATCAGCATGGTAAATCGGTCCAAATTGCAGGGAGCTTAGCACCAATGCTCCGTGCAAGCTGTCATCTTGGATATCCAACTTGGACATCTTGTCAGACATGCACTGAGAATTCTTTGTTAACACCTAATTCCCAGGCATACAGAAGACTGATTTGTACTGGGACTCTTATGCATGGGGAGAGGGGACTTCAGAGTCCCCCTATGCCATTCTTCTGACTTGAAATGAACCCGAGGAGCCACTATTTGCTCCATGAAGGAAATTTTTGGATAGCCCATCGGTACATGTATAGCCCATTAGTACATGTAAACTTCACCAGTGGAACAAACAGCCGTTCCTTGGGACCATTTGCGTTTGACAAAATGGCACAAGGTGGGAGGCTTAAGTCCCCAATGCAAATTGGGCCCTTGCACACACCTGGAAATTAAGTTTCAACACATAAACCAAGTGTGTGGTTGAAACAGGCAAGTGGTGTGATTGGTGAGTGACAGAGAGGGGGAGGGGTTTTGGAAGTGATGCAGTGTGGATGATATTTATGTCTGTCAAGAGTGACAGTTAGTGAGATGACTGTTGAGAAAGACAGTTAAGTCAGTTAAGCTATGTATGAGTGGAAGGAGACTCATCCCTGTGTGGGATAATTTGGTTCTGTGTAGTAAAAGAGTTAAGCAGTTTGTTCGTTTTAAGGTCTGAGAGAGAGAAGTCTTGTGTGTGTTATGAAAAGTTGAAGCATAAAGAAACAGTAACCGTATATGGCCTAAGGAAAATATTGTTACAAAGTGACATGCCCAGATCCCTGTCAGTAAGAAGGAAAAGTGTGTGAAATATCAAAAAAATCTACTTTTATTTAAGATACCAGTTCTGAAAGAAATTCTTCCCAGGAAACACATAGACCCTCGTGAACGCCTAAAACCCTCGACATACCTACCCAGAAATAGAGAAAGCATAAAGGTTTGGAAATCCTTTTAAAATTTCCTGGTGGCAGCTGGATATATAGAGTAAAAACAAAACAGAAAGAACATTTTAAAGTAAACCCAGACCTCCCCAGTTAAGGGGTCGTCACACTGCTTCTTTAAGTTCACAGCACAGGTCAGCAGGCTAGCTCCTATGATGTCGTGAAGACACCTCTCCCCCTCCCCAAAGCCCAGAACTGTTTTGCAAAGTTGAGGGTTTTTTTAAAAAAAAAAAGTGGAAGGAGGATATATAAATGGGCATGCACTACTTTCAAAGATAAAGAAGACAGCATGGGGAAAAGGCAAGTTGTCAGCTGATCCAGCATTTCATTTTCTGGCATGTATATGTGCAAGTGAAGCCATGGCCACACTGTGGGTGGACACACTGTGAACACTATTTAAGTATTACAGATGTAAAGTACATCCATATGTAATGCTTTTTAAAAAAGAAATTATCATGATTAAGATGCTTATATGATCTCAGTTCTATGGAAGATATCAGTTCTTTGCGCTGATGTGAATTAAGCCTTCCATCAGTGATGAGCATCTCTCCACATGAACAGATACACAGAACAGTAAATCTATATTTTCTATTCCAAAACCAAACAACAACAAATATAAACTGAGTACGTCCGCCATACACATCTTCATAATCAAAAATACTGTTCCACAGTATGAGGAAAATATAATTTGGAACATACAGACACATATAAAAAGGCTACAGCTGGGAGAAAACTTGGGTTCAAAATGTTCTTTGAAGTTTTTTCCCCACAGCAGCTCAAACTGCTCAACAGTGGTCCCTGCCACACAGCAGGGAAAAGGACGGTCGAACTGCGGCTAATCTGAGCCGCATCAAAGTTGAGACGCCGCGGCGGGATCTCACGGATCCGAGCCGCGGCGCCGTCGCTCCCTGGCACGATCAGATGCCGGGGAGAAAGCGACGGTGGAAAGGGGAGCCTGGCGAACTGCGCATGCTCACACATGTGCAGTTCGGCCAGGAGCCGGGGATGCGCCGGTGCAAGGACGCGCCGGCGATCCCACGGCCGCACTTGCCGCGGCCCAATCGAAAGAACCACCCAGGTAGGTGGTTGTTTTTTGGTGCGCTGTATGGGCGGGATGGGACGGATCGGAGACGGTAGCATGACGTTCCCCAGATGTTGCTGTGGGATCGTGCCCGTTTGCCCCGGCCCCGTTCAGTCCTTCTCCCGGCCTAAACGGCTCGTATGAACAGGGCCAGTGACAGACAAGGTGCTATTTTAAACTGAGCAGCAACCTGATCATAAAACACATTAGTAAAGATCAATAAAAAGCAATGTAGTAGAATCGAAAGAATTTTTTTGAAAACATTACGTATTTAATGCAGCTATGATATTTTCAGGTTAAATCAGGCTATTTTCAGATTTTACATTGCTGACTTGTTCTTATTTACCAAGAAAAATCTGATATTATATATGGTATGCCTTATTAACATCTTAATCTCAGACGATCTATGCCAATACCTGGTTCTATGTAGTAAACAATAGTTCCATACTCCTCTCCCATTACTTGTGGCGCTGTTTCATTTCCTGTTGGCTGATAGAAAGGTTCAGGTTCAGTAGGAACCCACTCTAGCAAAACACAAAATAAAATACATTTTTTCATTACTGCTTTATTTGTACATTCAGAGAAAATTAAATTTTATTTACTTATATGTTGGATTTATCTATTGCCCAATCCCTGTATCGCTCTGAGCGATGTACAACAAAGTTAAAATCACTAAATAATAACTGAGATATTTGTCCCTTCACCAGTTTCTTGCTGTATTTCAATTTCAGTTCAGTTCAATCCCAAATAACTATTTTGGTATGACAAGGCATATAAATATCAGAAAGGATTTATTAGGAAATTACTACTTAAACTGGAAAGCTATGTAACAGTATATGCACTGTAAAATAGCTGGGCCCTGGTTAAACAGGAGCAGATAAAGTATTTATTCAAAGACATAGACTTCCTCGGTAATCAATCTCTTGGGAACTGTTTTACAAGAATTTTTACTAGACATCAGGATGACAGAAATAAGGGTATGATGAAAATGTGCAGCTGATACAAAGTTATGATAACAATACACAGATGTTGCACAAAATTAACTGGGTGACTTCATGAATTAAAGCAATAACCATTGAACAGACATTAATGTAAGTAAGTTTACATGTGGGGAAAACAACATGAGTACGGAGTTCTCAAACATAAAATAATGCATATATTATATTTTGCCTACTTCTTCATCAGAAAAAAACACTGTGAAATGGTCTTTTCCAAACACAAACTATGCTTTAATCTAGAATAGATTTAAATACCTTGAGAATTCCTGCTCTACCTTTTTGCTGTGAAAAAAGTTTTTGTTTGAATAAAGTTTGTTTTTAAAAAGTTTTTGTTTGAATTCTAAAAAAAACTGTGTATCATATTTAAGTATTAGCCCAAGAGGCTCTTAAATTTGAAGTCTATTTTCAGTGTGGATCAGTACTAATGGAAACAAAGATCTCTCCAACCACAGTTCCTGCACAGCCAGTAACAGTTACAGCACAATATCATTCATGCAAAATATTACATTCCAACCCATAACTCAGATTACCAATGTGGTGGATGTGATCCTGGATTACTTCACATTCTATTGGCCAACGTGGGGCCAAAAGTGAATCTTTACAGTTCGGAAGAGAAAAAAGGTTCCGAGGTTCTCGTAAGCGCAGAACACCAGGATCTGCTGGATGGTCAAGCATAAGTTGCTTGCTTTTAAGAAGCGCTGTCTTCACCATAAATGAACCTGCAAAAAGAAAAAGAGAAAAAAGAAAGAAAAATAGCATAGTGCCATTTACTTCTTAGCAGGTTCCCAGGGAGCATGCTGCTACGAGGGCTGAAGGAGGCATTTCTTTCTTTGCAGGGCGATCCTCACTTGGGCTTTCAGCTTACTTACAGAGTAGCTTCTTGTCTTCATGAAGTTCTGAGCTAACCCTCTTTTGGAAGTTGCTTGGCTTTAACATGTACTGAGAGCTCTTCTCCCAGTTCTCAAGAGGCAAAGAGGAGTTCTGAAGAGCTTGTTCATCACCTAAGAAGAACATTATTACTGCTGTTACTCCTAGTGCTGCTGTGAAACCCTTATCACTTCAACCATTTGAACCTAACCTGAACAAATACCAGCCAATGTCCATTATTTCATCCGTAATTCTTGCAATGAGCCACTACACTGAGACAACAAAAACCAACTTTAAAAACAACTAAAATTGTATTGGCATGATCACATTTTTCTACATTAGTAGCATATCAATATCAGCTGCACAACATGGACTTTGTTAAACTAAATATGTATAACGTATGAACATCAGATTAGACAGACAAAGACATTAATTCTAGATACTCAAATTTAGAAGTAAATGCTATTAAAATCAATGAGATTTGATTGAAAGCAAAAACTATTAGGACTGAAGAGTAATGGAAAAGGTGGTGCTTTATTTTCTCCAGCACTAAATTAGAGGTGCTATCTTGATATTTTCACCAGTTCGTAAATGCACAGATTTTAAAATATTGATTGAAAGGTTGACAATGGTTCTTTTGCACTTAAATTAGGCCACAGAGATTCTCCTAATTACTCAAGAGAAAACAAATGTGTGAAGAGTTACTGGCAAGCCCAGAAAATGTATTTTTGATACCTATTTGGAAACAGCTACATTGGCTGCCAATCTGTTTCTGAGTTCAATTCAAGGTGATAGATATGACCTTTAAAGCCCTTCATGATCTGGGACTCATATATTCAAAGAATCATCTTCTTCCATATGTATCTGTGCATCAACTACAGTAAGCAGGCGGCCATATGTTGGCTAGCTCACCATTTAGGGTGGCCCATCTGGCATCAATCATTGTGGCTCCAGGTCTGTGGGAGGGGCTCTTCAGGAGGTGCTGCAAGGTCCTGCCTGTTTGTCAGAGCTTCTGAGTATGAATCGGCAGGGGCTGGGTGGAGGGATTTGGGGTTTGTTCTTTTATTTTTTGTTTTTACACTGAAAAATGTTTTTAACTATTATTGTAAGTTGCCTTAAGAACATAAGAACATAAGAGACGCCAATGTTGGATCAGGCCAAAGGCCCATCCAGTCCAACACTCTGTGTCACACAGTGGCCAGAAATACCAGTGCCATCAGGAGGTCCAGCAGTGGGGCCAGGACATTAGAAGCCCTCCCACTGTTGACCCCCCCCCCCCAAGCACCAAGAAGACAGAGCATCACTTGCCCCAGAGCCCCTAGCTATACCTTGTGGCTAATAGCCACTGATGGACCTCTGCTCCATATGCTTATCTAATTCCCTTTTGAAGCCGTCCATGCTTGGAGCACCCACCACTTCCTGTGGCAGTGAATGCCTTGGACCACTGAAGAAAGGTGAGAAATAAATGTTTTAATAAATCAATAATAAATACATTTTCTGGCTTTCTGGGGTATCCTATATTCCCAGCATGACCAGATAGCTGAGCAAATAATGAGACAGTTGGTGAATCAGATGCAGCTGGTGGAAGGTGCTCCTGACCACTATGCCAAATAGCAAGACATGGTCCATGAGTACCCCAAGTCCTTAACCTGCTCTGAAAAAGCCAACATCGCTCTATCTCAAACAAGAAAATTCAGTCCCTCTAGAATATCTGCCTTCCCCATCAGCATTACCTGTATCTTGCCTAGATTCAGCTTCTGTTTGTTATGCCTTAGCCATCTGACCACAGCATCAAATTACCAGTTTATAACCAAGATGGATGCATCTGGAGGCTTGCAGGAATGGATCAGCCATGATTCCATTGAGCACCACTTCAGTGTCCACAAGAAGCCCCTCAGTGCATGTCTGCTGCACATCTATGCCTCCAGTGTCAGAAATACAGAGCTGGGTATCATCTGCATATATACACACGCACACGTACATTTATACACACACACACACACAGAGCATGGGTGAGAGAACAGAACACTGTGGCACTGTACAAGATAAATTCAACCCAGTTGATTTGGCACTTCTAGTTGAAATCCTTTGTGTCCAGTCAGATAGAAAAGAGTAAAACCACCAAAGGGTTACATCCTCAATACCAACTCCATATTCAAGCTTATGGATAAGAATAGTCAACTGTGTCAAAGGCTGCTGAGAGGTCCATAGTATCAACAGAGAAGATTGTCCCCTGTCCATCTTTAAATGAGGATCGTCCACTAGTGTAACTAAAGCTGTCTCAGTACCAAACACAGGCCTGTGTCAGCTAAAGCTGCCATGAGTAGGGAGAGGCTTTCTAATTGCTTTGCATTCCTTCCCATGCGCTTAATTGCTTCACAGCTGCAATGCTTATCTGTAAAGAGTTACTGAAGGAGTTGTGGTGTCTACCTTCCATGGGATCATCCTGGTTCCCAGCTTCGCTACCGTTAGAGAATCTTGCCATCGCCCGCGCGCGGGAGCCCATCTAATTGGGTATTGCTAGGGGGGAGGCGCATACGAATGCCCTATATCCTATTATGCACACAGGTAACCCGCCATTCCTAACAGTGTTCATGTTACTGCATCTATGGCTTTTCAATAAAAGTAAAGCCTTCCTGGAAGCGTGTACTTCCTTGTTTTGCTGTGGATCCTGACAGCCTGAAGCCAAACTGAAATGGGCCAAAGGCAGAAGTGTCATCCAGAAAGGCCTGGACCAGCTCTGCCACCACACAATCTGTGACCTTCTGTAGAAAAGGTAAATTGGAGACTGGCCTGTAACTGGCCACCTCATCCGCAGCCTATGAAGCTTTTTTGTGCAAAGGTCTAATAACTGCCTCCTTCAAAGGTCTAGGGAGAGCCCCCTCCTTCAGGGAGGAATGGATGGTTTTCACTAATGGCTTCAATACCCTTTCCCAGCAAGAAAAGCCCTGCAACACGGAAGATCAACTTGTTATAAGGTTCAACAGATGGAAAAGATCCGTCAGGCTGGAGCCTATGTTCTTACCTCTGAAGTAGCCATAGTACTGGAGATGTTGATACATAAATCTTTCGTAGGGATCTTTAAAATGCTGTGGAAGGAAAAGTACTGAGCATTGAGAAAGGTGGGATCTTCTGCTTATGGTCTCAATCTCATTTAACAAAGACTGCTCTTGAGGCTAGCAAAGTTTGGCGAAGTGCGGGGACTCTAATCTGGGAGAACCGGGTTTGATTCCCCACTCCTCCTCCACTTGCGCCTGGCTGGATGACCTTGGGTCAGTCACAAGCTCTGGCACAGCTGTTCCTGAAAAAGAGCAGTTTCTGTCAGAGCTCTCTCAGCCCCACCCACCTCACAGGGTGTCTGTTGTGGGGAGGGGAAGGAAAAGGAGTTTGTCAGCCGCTCTGAGACTCCAAGTGAAGGGCAAGGGGGTATAAATCCAGTCTCCTCCTCCTCCTCCAAAAAAAGGAAGTGATAGAAACATCTAAAACGAGGCCCAGAAATGTTGGTCTCACAATACGCTTCCACTCGTCTCAAAGTACAGCCAAAAGGAGTCAAAGCTTCCTTGTGGACATGGCCTCTGCTGAAGCCCCCC